TTATTTGCTTGTTGTTGTTCATTTATTATGTTTTTCATGATTTACTTGCTTGTTCCTTTTTTTATTTATTTAATATATCCTTTTTATAAGGGTATGTTAAGTATATAAATTATTTTAGTACTTTTTTACTTTAAAAGTGGAAAAAGCTAACAATATTTATCAAAAGATTATGATAACAGCAAGGAAGTGATGAAGTAATGAAAGTAATTTTATTCTAAATATTTTATTCATTTCTGGTATAGAATGGTCTGGGCAAGTAATATCTTTGTATTCATCTTTCACAAATGGATGAATATTATGATAAAGATATTCTTGTCTCTTATAATCTAAAGGAGGGGGTGTTAACACTAAAATAGATAAAGCTTTAACCTCTTCAAAAACATCTGCTTTCTTGGTTTTCAATAAATTGAATTCAGTAAAAGGACCATTATCAACTTCTTGAACTTTTACTGTACCATGATTAGATGCTTCAAAAAGAAAATGTTGATATTTTTGTATACTTGGTAATTTCTTGAAATAAATTCCCAAAATAAGTATTGAAAACCTTTTCCTGCCTTGTAGCATTGGGCTTTATTTAATCCTGCTGGACTAGATCTTTTTACTACATCAACCACATGATCTAGACAATTACTCTTGTCTTTCTATAAAGTTTTTTAATCAAACCAAAACTACCATCACATTTGAATTTGGTATGTCCTGGAACCATGAAATTTAGTTCAATGCTTTCATAATAACCACAAATTACCAAATATAAATAAAACAAAATTGTTACATTGTTTTTATTTTGTCCCCCAGCATTATCACAAGTAATTTTTAAATGCTTTTCACATTTATTCAATTTCTTAATTCCATCAAAAATCATGCTAAGAGTGCCATTAGGACATTTTCTTATAATTTCATCTTCATCAAGAACATAATTAATTTGCTCACTTAATGCTTCATCTTGAATACCAAATGAAATGGACTTTATGTGGATTAAGGTAATAAATTTTACTTACCTGTCGATCAGAATGTGGTACATGAACATTTTGGGCTCAATCATAAATCATTTTACCTTTTTCCATACTTGCGCAATTATTTGTATAGTGGTTGGAACTTAAACAATAAAAACATTTGCCAACGTACTTTGGAAGGATATTAGGGCACTTGTTTGATTTATGACCTTTGTAACCACAAGTACAGCAAATTTATCCATACTACGGGTTGTTTCTCTGAGTGATATAGACATCTTTTGCAGAAATTAACGTTCTAGTTGTGGGAGTGTAAGTGGTATTTGTTGGTGAGCTGTAATAAAGGTTATAAGGTGATGGTGGTTCCTCATTAAATTTTCTTTTATGCAATGACACTTGTTTGCTTTTGCCGATTGTGATCATTTTTATGAAATTTTGCATTTTCTCATCGTTGTTGTTTTTTTTGTTGTCGTTGATATTTGTATTATCATTATTTCTATTATTATTATTATTAATCAATGTTCCTATTGTTTTTATTGTTGTTATTACTATTCCCAATATTATTATTAATATTATTATTTTTACCAACAATACTGCTACTGCTATCGGTACTGCTACTGCTATCGCCACTATTATCGACATTACTATTGTCGCCGATTAAATTCGGGAGAGCGTATTTTAATTGGTGATAACAATTATTTTTTGTTTTTGCGTGGATCAGAATGAATAGGGAGGGGATCAACGAATTGATTTTGTTATTAGCGAATAATTTTGGGTAAAGAAGATAAAAGTTTATTTAAATAAAATATTACTATTTTATTTATTTAGTTTTTCTTAGTCGAAACTAATTAACTTGTTAGAAAGTTACTTTACAAGTACATTGAATTCAAGCTCCTTATATACAATTCAATTAATTAGTAATTCTAATGTTTCAAAATTGAAATTTCCGTACAATATTGAAAAGTTATTTCAATATTGTAATAATATTTCATAATTGTAACAATATTTCAAAATTGCCGATATTTCAAAATTGCGCTAATATTGGAAAGACGATTCTTCCTTAACATTATGACAAATATTTTTAATTAATAAAAAAAGGGGCCGATATTTAAATTCGTTGTAACAAGACGGCAAACATTGATAAACTAGATTTGAATTTGATCCGAACTTGATCTCCAATTTAGAGAGGTAACAATTATACACTGGCGAAGTTTCAGAAGCAATGAGTTCTGTACAACATTTCGTCTAACAACATGCTTTGTGGTGATAATAACTAAATTTTAATCCCTGAAATTTTTGGTAATACCAATGTTCACTTTGTCTGGTTTTGTTGCTATATAATAACAACAATAATAACTCAATAACCTCAATAACAAAGGCCTGCTCAACCAAGAAAAATTCACAACACAAAAGTTCGTTTAGTTGAAACTTTGCATCTGAACCACATGCGTTTTTTGGGAAGAAAGATAGTCAGAGAAGATTAGCACATACATCTAGCTAGAATACTTGTATTTGAGGGAAAGTTATATTGTCTTGTATAATTTGTATATTGTGCTAGAACAACTCACATTGATAATAAAACTATTTGTGATCTTAAAACTTAAGTGATCATGAGTTTATCAAGGGTAATCCTAATATAACATCAAAATAAGAACAAAATCCTTGTTAAAACGTTGGTTGGCAACTTGTAAGACTAATGATTACAAAAAATGAATACTACAATGATTTCCTTTGCCTTATAAGGTAAATAATTCCTTTTGAAATTTCATATTTGGCATCTCATTTATCATTTATATAATTTTGTGGATTTGTTATTTTTCGAAAGAAATACGAAAACGATATTAATATTAAATATCCAAGCATGCTTGTTATAGTTGTGGTAATAACTATATTAAGTTGGTCCTGTCATCTTGTGAACAGAGTGGCGGATCATTCTAACCAAATGGTCTTTACATAACAATCTACCCTTTATTTATGCGGAGCTTAGATTGGCGAGAGAATCCAACATCTTGATCCTTTCAATCTTTCTTTTTAAAATTAAATTTAACAGATTTAAAAAATTCCCAAGTCTTTTAAATGAAAACTACAATTTTTAATTTATTGGAATATCAATAATGATAATTCATTATATATATATATTAAATAAATGCATTAATTTGAAAAACCTCAAATCTCAAGTTCATGAAAAATTTGGAAACCCTCAAATCTAAACAAAACTTGAATATTATTAAATCAATCAATTGTCTCACAATTTAATCAATTTCAGGGTGTCTCATGCCCTCATAACAAGATGATATATTAAGCGTATTAATTTATTTGACAAACGATCAAGGTGGTTTTTTACTAGTTGTATGAACCAGGATTGGTGATAGACAGGTCCATTGAATTTTGATCTGGTCTATCGGCATTAATAAAATACAAATATGGTCATTACGCTATACCAATTGATCAATGGACCAGTCAATTTCCAACCCTGGTATGAACTGTGTGAATAAAAATACAAATATCAAACGACATGGAACCCCTTTTCAACTTGAAACCAAATCACGGACGCCTTGCCATGAATCCAGTATTTTAAATACTGTTATTAAATCGCTCTGGTAATATCCATGGCAATTTTTATAATCAGATATGGGTAATGATTTGTTTATGTATTTTTATTTCTTATAAATGTCGATGATATAAAGAGAGGGAGAATTAAAAATAATATTAATATTAATAATATTATAGTTAGTAAAAATGAAAAGTTATTCATAGTAGCTAATTGACACACACATATATATTACATAAAATAATTATTATTAGATACAAACCTTTATGAGCCTATTCTTCGAGTTCATCACAATCTAATACAGATTCATTACTTTCTTTTTCCCACTAACAGATTCTTCTTCTACATAGTCACTGCTACTCTATAATATTAACAATACATATTTTCAGTTTTTTTTCTAATAAAATTGTTAATTTAAAAAAAAATCTAACCACTTCAACCTTCTCCTCCTCATTCTTAGCGAGGCCCCACTTTACTCACTGAATCTGATTGTACTTTTGAATCATCATTATTTTATCCATTCACGTCTAAGAATGACCAACCACCATTTATATAAAATCCTGCTACATATTGATTAATATTTGTGCCCAGCCTAAATTTGGCGTTTCTTGATAATATACGATATCTATTGAATCTAACCAATTATTTATGCCTTCTAATTGAAATAGTATTAATATATTGGTGACTGTGAATAATCTCTTAAAACCAATACCATATCAAAATTTACTAACCCATTCTATATCTTTCTAAATTTTTACCATTCCTACATCAGCCATTGTCAAAAAGGCAAATCTACCAATGAACGAGACAGTTGTTGGTTGTAATAACACTTTGGTTTTAAATGGAACACCAGAGAATCCAATATTTCTGGAAGTATCAAGAACAATTACATCTAAAAAATAGATTAAAATAAAAATGAATTTATATAATAGAACTTTTCTTTATTTAATCCTTATAAATAAATAATACCAACATATGTTGAAACGTTCTTGGAAAATTTCCCAAGTTCATCATTTAATGATTTTCTTTTTTCTTTCTTTTCTACCAATTCAATTTCTTCATTGGATTGTTCATATATATCTCATCTTCATCCTTATAATCATCACCTACCACATCATTTTTGATATCAGAAACTTTCTTTGTGAATTGTATGTCCTAAAACAATTTATTTATTATAAGACTTTGCAAAATAAGAAAACATTAACAAGCGTACAGCAGCGATGGATTTCCCCCAAGTTTAATCGATTGATTAAGTCAATGTATAACACTACAATTGCTTCATCATCATTCAGAGTTGAAAGAATATATGGTTTATATTGTAAAAAATTATTTATTAATATTAATATTATTAAGAATTTTTAATAATGCATCAGGTATGAGTATTGTTACCAATTATATACTGATAATCATCTGCTTTATTAGCAAAGGCCGTCAAGAAACTTTTTTTGTTCCAAACCCCAAACTCAGCCTCACGAATACATCTACAAGCTTATGATATGGCATTATAACTATTAAAAAATACAAACAGATATCGTTAGATATATATATATATATATACATATAAATTTTTTAAAGGTAATGAATAATTAAACTGCTACTAACGCTCATCTATAACAAGTTTAGGTTGTAAAGCCAATCCAGCTAATTGATTTTTTAATTTTTTCTCTGAAAATAAATAAAATTTATATCTCTTTAAAAAAAAAAAAAAACAAATATTTATTTATTTTATATACCTTTTTTGAGCTCAACTATCTGTTCATATACTTCACTTCACCCAGGTTGGCAATTGACCAGTCCAATGGATCCATGGCATAGTTTGTCAACTTCAATGGACTTGATATATTGCCAACTCCACTTCACTCATATAATCATCCATACTTCTAGACGTCAATGAACGAATGTAGCTTATAAAATGGCTTTTTTCCAGTAGCTTCTTTTGGCGTCAAAAACTTTACATCTACAAGTATGTATAGTCACCTTCTGATTTATGAGCATTTTATATTGAAAAGGAACCGCATAATCAAATATCTGAGTGATGACTTCCTTGCCCCGATAATCATTTTTCTGATTAATACCGAGTTCTTCCTGATTAAGAGAATTTTTATTACTTTTTTGAAGATAGTCTCAAATCCTTTTTAGTTCCTTGCTAGCATTATTGGCAAATATTTTTTCAGTTTTTGGAGTATTATATTCAATTACCAACTCACCCTGTTGATCTCCATAAATATATAATATTTGGATGATTGATAAGAATAAATCAAACATTTTTACCTTTGACTCTTGGAAATTTCCATGTTTTTATTTATAACTTTCAAACATTTTAATACTACTTTTTAATTTACAGTATGATCTTCTCATTCAGTATAGCGAGTCAAGCCATTATTTGTTTTTGTCTTGCCAATTCAGTTTGATGCTGTTTACGTCCATTATTATCTTTTACCTAAAATAACGACACATTTATGTGAGTAGAATAATATATATTTATTAAAAAAAAGTTTAAATTGAACCAAATACCTTGCCATTACTCCTCAAATTATATTTTGGATAAATAGTAGGTTTTGGAAGAAGAAGTGGTGGTGGCTTCAGAAATATTAGTAGTAGCAATAGGAGTTGATATTGCAATTGGCTCACTGTGTGTTCATAATTTAGGAGCTTTAGATAAAAAGATTTTGTTGAATTGTTTTTTTTTTGTATGTGATTTGTTTTTGTTTTTTGAAGAAAGCTTATTGCCAAGATCATTAGTTTTAGTTTCAATGAAGTCATCAGATTTCAGAAAATCAAAAACATCCAATAGATTTTTCGATCGAGAACTCGCTCCAAGTTGATTACTATTAATTTCAGTTTTCAATGAAGACTTATTCACATTGTCATCAGACTTTAGAAAGTCAAAAACATCTAATCCATTTTTTTTTAATTTTGGTTGAGAGCCGATTACTATTATTATTTTTAGTCTTAGTTTTAGTTTTAGTTTTCAATGAAGACTTATTCACATTGTCATCAGACTCCGGAAAGTCAAAAATATCTAATGCATTGTTTTTTATTTGCTTTTGATTTCCAAGCTCATAATAAAAATAATTCAAGAAATCAAAAGTCCATGACAAGAATCCGTTATCAAAATTGGTACTACCAAAAATTTCAATATAATGTGATTATTTTCTTTTCCTATTTCATGACTTTCTAATTATTCGATAACTTCCATACAGAATAATTGAGTAATTGATCCAAAAGTATAAATTCAACAAGGGCTCAATTTCCTCCCTTCTGGCTTATTTTCACCTTGTTGATAGGATTTCATTTTAGATAGTGAACTATTTTCTTTTAATTGCTTTTGGAATTCTTCTATATTGTTAAATATAAATCAATGAATTTGGCAATTTTTTCAGCATTCTCATCAAATTCCTCTCAAGTATTATTAGTGAGAACTAAGTCAGCATGTTTTTTAGTAGGTGTATGAAGAATGTGCTTATGGATTAGAAGTTTGGTTATGTTTGTTCACAAATAAAAGACTTCAGAAACATCATTTCCATAGTTTCTTCTGTCTTTTATGGGTTCACCAACCATCTTCTTGTAGTGAGGAGATCTTTTAATTCTTCCAATCAACTCAATAAATCTTCAAATCGGCCATATTTCTAATTTCCTCAAATACTAAACATGACTTCCTTCTACAACGATGATTGGTTTGGCTTCTACTTCTTCATGCCATTCATTTCGTTTTACTGAATATAAGTCAGTCACTCTCATGTTTTTTATTTTTTAATCTATGATGAGGCAAGGGAAATTTACCAAAATCATAGCCAGTAAAAGAACTTTAACACAAAACCAAAACCAAAAAATAAATAATTTTCGGTCAATTGTCAACAATATATCCCAGGGGACACATAGAAAAAAGCAAAAGGTTTCACTGATAGGGTTATATAGTAATCACAGACCATAATAAGTCGATCGGATTTATGGAACGCAATTAATAATGTTTTTACACGCGATGCAAAAATTATCTGTAACGCGAATATTATAATTCGTTGAAACAAGGTTTAATCGCAAACAAATTTTATTATTATTACCTTAGTAGCAGAGTTTACGATGCTCCAATTTATTAATGCCATCATATCTCATGTAGACAGTCAGCAATTCGTATTTGAAGTCTTGGCTTTTTATTTTTTTTTAGATTTTTTTTTGTATAATTGTATCTTGAAGTAGGATTATCAATTGTGACAAGCGTCATCAATCGTCGTCATTCTCATCATTAAGCAAGCTAATATAGTTTTGAAATTACGCATACAAAGTATCCACTTCTACCACCTCATCATTGTTAATGTTATTCTTCACGAGGAAATGTTGAAAGAACGTTTATCTGTAACATCATTGACCAAAAGTACTCCAATTAATGTTGTTGTTGTAAAACTATTGCGTCAAATTAAATTAAAAATGACGCAAGTAAAATTGCTTTAAAGGCTAATAAAACATAAAAGTTCACAAAAAACTTATAAATATGTATTCCAATCTCTTCTTTGTTTCATCAGTTGTTCCCAAGGAGCCAAGTCCTTCTTTTACTGAATACAATTCAGTTAGCACACACTCATCTACTACTAAACTCGAACATTTCTTATTATATAAACGGGGTAGATAATATCATCCCGCACTTTATGTTCCAGGGTCAACTAATTTTAGTGATAATTATTATCAAAATGAAAAATTTACGTAAAAGCTTTTTATATAATACAAGTAACTTTGCAATCATAAACCTTTAATTTTCCTTATTCTTCCTTATTGCAGTGATCAATGAAGAATAACTTCTGGTCCTCGCAGAGGAAAATAATAGATAGTTAACGTTCTAATAAAATAAAAACAATGATAAAATCATCATTTTTATTAAACGTTAATAAGCTTTTAAAAATAACATGATTAGTAACGTAATTTGTTTTAGTGAGTAAGCGAAGGCTAAGACTAAAGTTGGTTAACTAGTGAATGTTAATGAAGGTTAATCGGAAATACTGGTAGTATTATTGTAATTGTAAACATAAGGCTGTTAAACAAGCTACTTAAGCTTTTTTTGCAAGTAAACCAAAGTGGGCCAATAAATATAAACGAATAAATCAATCACAAGTGAATAAAAGGAACTTTATAGAAGCCCTTGAGGGCATCTTTATTTATTTACAATTATCTGGTACCATTGAGTGTGCAATTACAGACTCGTCCAGATGCAAGAGAGAGGAAACTAAAGTAAATTTGTAACTGATTAATTGACAAGCACTGAATTTATTTGCAAGAGTAAGCAAAAGTTAGGCCATAATTGTTAATCAACTGAAATGATACCATAATTTAAGAGTCAAAAGATTTATTATTTCAAAACATTATTATAATTTAGCTTTAAAGAAACAAAA